AAGCTCCCTATGGCTGAACCTAGGCCAGGGCCACCTGCTTGACCCCCATTTGGCTTATGGCTTGATGCCTGGATAGAAGAAAAATGGGGGAGGAATTGGCCCCCCAGGAAAAAGAGTCTTGGCCCTAGCTGGCTCTGGGAATAAAATTGGGGGCTGAAGACTGAAAATCAGGCAGATGCTCAGCAACAAATCAAGCAATAGTCCTGGGGTAAGTGAATCTTCGTTCTTCTCCCATCTCGGTTGTGAGTTCCAAGAATTTGTCCAAAGGATGCGTCCCTGAGTGAGCTGGCTGCTGGCAAGCTGGTTTTGGTGCTTAGAAAACTGGGTGAGGGGAGGAAAGGATAATAAATAGATGGAAAATGGTGAGCAGTGGGGAGATAACAGGAGCTTAGGCAGGGTCAAAGCATATTTTGTGGGCTGGGATGGAACTTATGCAACCAAATGATGTTTAAATGAAGTGATCTTAGAAATCAGTTTCCTGGTTGGCTTGGAACTTCTAGGAGTAAAGCAAGACAACTTGCCCCATACCAAGGGCTCAGACCACAAGTTTCTCTTCCATCCATTCCCCTCTTCAGGCCCAGAGCATACAATGCCATTGTCCCCTGGAGTTGTCCCCTCACCACAAAGGGGTGCTGATTCTGGACCTGGGATGATTCTAATACTCATTATCTAAGCTTTTTACGTTCATGGAGTATTCCATATACTTCAGCTACATTTCATCATCTAACAATTAGAATACCAGGGCAATCTGGCCATAACAGGTTACCACCTGGATGGCCATCTAATTAGCTCCCCTCCCCCATAGCTCTGTGAGGTTGGCAGGATGTGGAGAGCTCTCTCTCTCTCTCTCTCTCTCTATCTATCTATCTAATAGAGATGGAGTCTATGTTGCCCAGGTTGGTCTTGAACTCTTGAACTCCTGAGCTCAAGTGATCCTCCTGCCTCCCAAAGTGCTGGGATTACAGGTGTGAGCTACTGCACCCAGCTGAGTTGTCTCTATTTTGCAAATAAGGAAATTGAGGCTCACGGAGATGAAGCTGATTAGATGCAGACTCTCAGTGCTTGATAGATCATTCTAGTCAAAATCACATTTTCATACTCAAGTCCCAACTCCTTCTACCCCACAATGCCCATTTCCAGTGACTGGGTACTTAAACTTCTGCCACAACTTGGAAATCACTATGCTCTAAGGCAAGCTCTGTCCTTAGTCCATAGCCTATTAGGTATGGGGCTTGAACTAGGAACCCAGGGCTTTAGAGAGAAGCTGGAACCTGACTTTGGGGTGTTTACTGTTTCCTAAGTTGGAGCTTTTACATGGTTTTAGCTGGCTTGCATCAGACATCCTCTTATGTTGTAGCCAAATCAAGACTCCAGGTGGTAGGAGGCAAAATTGTCTCAGAAAAAGAAGTGATAACAAACCTTAGAGTACTGAAAATAAGACATTATCCTAGAAAAGTGTCTGGGGCAAGTTAAGCTTGGGAGAGTTGGAGTAGGACTGGGGTGGGAGGGAAAGAGAAAGTCTAACCAAGTCCATGGAACCCAGATTTGAAGGATATCCAGCCAGCCTAGAAATAGAAGTTTGCATGCTGGTAAGAGGAGGCAGCTTTGGGGTCTGATCCCAACTAGAGTGCTACTCCATTTGGACTACTTTGTGCAGACCTTCGAGGTTAACTGCTGCCATGTTGTAGATGAACTACTCATCCTTCACTGGAATGTCAAAGAATGAAATTTTAAAAAGAAGAATGCATACCTGGGTGTGGTTGGCTCACTCCCATAATCCCAGCACTTTGGGAGACCGAGATGGTTGGATCACCTGAGATCAGGAGTTCAAGATCAACCTGGCTAACATGGTGAAACCCCATCTCTACTAAAAATACAAACATTAGCTGGCCGTAGTGGTGGGTACCTGTCATTCTAGCTACTGGAGAGGCTGAAGCACGAGAATCACTTGAATTCAAGAGGTGGAGGTTGTAGTGAGCCAAGATCATACCACTGTACTCCAGCCTGGGCAACAGGGTGAGACTCTGTTTCAAAAAAAAAAAAGAGGAATGCAGCTCTTTTCTAGCTCTGAGCAGCTGTTTTGGAATTGAGGGTGGGGAAGAAGGTTGTACAGAGGGAGCTTTAAAAAAGGCATGGAGGAACGATCCAAGATGGCCGATGGCTAACATCCCGGGATTGCAGCTCTCAGGGAAGGCGCGGAGAACTAGAGGACGCCACACTTTCAGACAAAGTCTGGTCGCTCACGGAGCAGAAGATCCCCCAGTGGTGGAAACACACGAGTTGCCAGCGTGACTCTCGTGGTCGGTGCAGCGGTTCCGCCGGCACCTCGACGTGGCAGCGCTCGGCGCAGAGTAAACGGGACCGGTTCCCCTTCTGACCGAGGTTTGGAGCCCCGGGAAGGCAGAGTCGCCTACTACGGAAACAAGAAGGAAGCCAGACAGGAGAATCCTGGGCAGAAAAGCACCATCAGTTTTAACGCTGCTGCTCTGGCCCTGGGAACTAACAACCTGGACGTCCACTCAAGAGACCTAATCTGAAAGTTGGTAATTTCAAAGACGACAGGAGGATAAATTTACAATGACGGGAAGAAACCAGCGTAAAAAAGCTGAGAATACTCAAAGTCAGAACGCCTCTCCCTCTAAAGGTGATCACAGTTCCACATCAACAATGGAACAAGGCTTGATGGAGAACGAGCGCCTCCTGATGACAGAATCACTCTTCAAGGAATGGATAATAACAAACTTCGGTGAGTTAAAAGAACATGTTGTAGCCCAACGTAAAGAAACTAGGAACTTTGAAAAAAGGTTTGATGAAATCCTATTGAGAATAGACAACTTAGAGAGGAGTATGAGTGAATTAATGGAACTGACGAATACAATACAGGAACTCTGAGAAGTATGCACAGGTTTAAACACTCGAATTGTTCAAGCAGAAGAAGGGATATCAGAGGTCAAAGTCCAACTTAATGAAATAAAACGTGAAGAAAAGATTAGGGAAAAAAGGATAAAAAGGAATGAGCAAAGTCTCCAAGAAATGTGGGACTATGTGAAAAGACCAAATTTACGTTTGATAGGTGTACCTGAATGTGACGGAGAGAATGAATCCAAGCTGGAAAATACCCTTCAGGATATTATTCAGGAAAATTTTCCTAAACTAGCAAAGCAGGTCAACATTCAACCCCAGGTAATACAGAGAACACCACAAAGATATTCCTCAAGAAGAGCAACCCCAAGGCACATAATCATTAGATTCACCAGGGTTGAAATGAAGGAGAGGATACTAAGGGCAGCCAGAGAGAAAGGTCAGATTACCCACAAAGGCAAGCCTATCAGACTTACAGCAGATCTCTCGGCAGAAACTCTACAGGCCAGAAGAGAGTGGGGGCCAATATTCAACATCCTCAAAGAACAGAACCTTAAGCCCAGAATTTCATATCCAGCCAAACTAAGCTTCACAACTGAAGGAAAAATAAAATCTTTTATGAACAAGCAAGAACTCAGAGATTTTATTACCACCAGGCCTGCTTTACAAGAGCTTCTGAAAGAAGCATTACACACGGAAAGAAACAACCAGTATTAGCCTTTCTAAAAATACACCAAAAAGTAAAGAGCACCAACATAAAGAAGAATTTACACCAACAAATGGATAAAACAGCCAGTCAACATCAAATGGCAGTAACCCTAAATTTAAATTGACTGAATTCCCAATCAAAAGACACAGCCAAAACCCAACGGCATGTTACATCCAGACCTGTTTCACATGCAAGGATACACAAAGACTCAAACAAAGGGATGGAGAAAGATTTACCAACCAAATGGAGAGCAAAAACAAATAATAAATAAATAAAAAGCAGGAGTTGCAATTCTCGTATCGGATAAAATAGATTTTAAAGCAACAAAGATATAGTGGTAAAAGGATCAATGCAACAACAAGAGCTAACGATCCTAACACCCAGATAGGAGACTTAGATTCAATGAGACAGAAAATTAATAAGGATATCAAGGACTCGAACTCAGATCCAGAACAAGTAAACTTAATAAATATTTATAGAGCGCTCCACTTCAAATACACAAAATATACATTCTTGTCAATACCACATCACACCTACCCATTAGTTTAAATGAAACATTGATTGGCCATTATTAATACCCAATTTTTTTCAAAATAAAGCAATATTTCCATTTACTCTCCCTCTTTCTCTTCCTTTTTCTTCCTCTCTTTACTTATTCTTTTTTTTCTTTCCTTCTCTCAAAAAAAAAGAAATCAACTTGTAAACCTCTAGATCCAGGTCAGCAATGTCTCTTTCATTGCTTGATTTCCTTTCTTCCCTTCCCTCCCTCCCTCCCTCCCTCTCTCCCCGCTTCCTCCCTTCCTTCCTTCCTTCCTTCATCCCTTCCTTCCTCCCTACTGTCCTTATTCCCTTCCTTCCTGCCTTCCTCCCCCCCCCCAAAAAAAAGGCATGGAGCTGAACTCTCAGCCTCGGTCTACCCCTACAACCCCTCACCCCATGTGGTGCTGCTGCCATCTAGTCTAACTAGAGGATAGTATCTCAACATCTGGATATATAGGTCCTGCCTCCTCAGTAAGCAGGAGGCCAAAGTGCGAAGGCTCCTTTCTAACTTCCATAAAAACACTCCACCAAGAAGATACCTAATGAATAGGCCCTGCTAAAGTATGCATTCACAATATAGACACTTATCCCTGGATAATTTCGGGGCCCATCTAGGTCAATGCTCCTCTCTACTCTACAACATCACTGACTTGAAGGTGAAGAAGCCTAAAGGGAAGTTGCTTCAGCAAGTCAGCCACAGCTATATCTCACATTTGGAGATAGAACCCATAAATACTCCTCTAACCATGTTAAAGGACACCAGACTAGGTAGCTTTAGGGTATAGAACCCCAATTCTGGGCCCCGAAAAAGCACGTGAGGACTCTTTATACCCTCTGCCCTCTTGTTCTCATCCTAGCAATCCAGATCAACCCACTGTTCAGGCCTCACCTTCAAACAGGAGGGCCACACCCCTTTTTATCCAGAACCCTGGAAACAGCATAAGACAGCAAGTTGACAGTATATCCTGAAAGGATCAAAAAGCAATGAATGGACGAGGCACAGTGGCTCACGCCTGATATCCCAGCACTTTGGGAGTCTGAGGAGGGTGGATCACTTCAGGTCAGGAGTTCAAGACCACCCTGCCCAACATAGTGAAACCTCGTCTCCACTAAAAATACAAAAATTACCCAGGCATGGTGGTGGGTGCCTGTAATCCCAGCTACTTGGGAGTCTGAGGCAGAAGAGTTGCTTGAACCTAGGAGGTGGAGGTTGCAGTGAGCTGAGATCACACCACTACACTCCAGCCTGAGCGACAGAGCGAGACTATCTCAACAACAACAGAGAATGAAGAGGTTAAGGAAGCATCTTCACTAGTCATTTTCCTCCAAGTCAGAGGTTCCCAAATGTTGCTTGAGCAACCAGAGCCAGCCTCAAAACCCTAGAAGAATGCAGTAACAAATTGAGAAGGGGTTTCAGGTTGGAAGTAGAAATCTTCCTAAAGAGGCAATGGGCTATGAGCAGGGCTGTATAGAATATTTCAAAAATCAGTTGTGCTGGCTGGGTGCAGTGGCTCACCCCTATAATTCCAGCACTTCGCGAGGCTGAGGCGGATGGAACATGAGGTCAGGAGATCAAGACCAGCCTGGCCAATATGGTGAAACCTCGTCTCTACTAAAAATACAAAAACATTAGCTGGGTGTGGTGGTGGGCACCTGTAATCCCAGTTAATTGGGAAGCTTGAGGCAGAGAATTGCTTGTGCCTGGGAGGTGGAGGTTGCAGTGAGCTGAGATCACACCACTGCACTCCAGCCTGGGTGACAGAGCGAGACTCCATCTCAAAAAAAAAAAAAAAAAAAAAAAATCAACTGTGTTGTCAAGCTCAAGACCAGAAAAATCATTTGCATGTTGTTCTGCAAGCATGTTCACCTTCCAGATACATTGTTCATTGCTCTGATGCCCACAATCTGGTTTCTCTAGGAAACCAGGCCTACTTGTCATCTAGCTTATTTTGCATGCTGACACATCTATACACAACCTTCAAAGACTGTTCTCCAACTGCCCTGAGAAGTGGGCAGGGCAAGTTACAACGAATCCATGTTATAGCTGAAGGAAACTGAGGCTAGAGCAGCAAAGAGATTTGCAACAGGTGGCAGAATTGGGAAGGATGAAACCTACGTTTTCCAAAATCCTAAGCCAGTTTTCTATTCCTGTATTTTCACTTGTAGGGTAGAGGCTAGAGAGAAGGAAACCATCCAAGGCTTGTAAACAGCCCAAAGAATAGAGGAAGGTGCCTTGTGGGTGTCAGGAACTGAAAGGTGGAGGTAATATGAAAGAGGAAGTCTGTGTGCCAACATACAGACTGCCTGCAGCTCTGCCTAAATCAGCTGCTTGCAATGGATATATCTGATGGCCTAATAGAGGAAAAATGTCAACTTTGCAGAACATGAACATCATTTTCTGCCTATATAGAGGAGACAAAAATAGGCTTGGACTCAGGACAAAGGCCCAGCCATGACAGCCTATTTCCACTGCACTCAACCTCCGTTCCCTAGGCAAGTGGTTCAGGACATAGTACATTCAGATTCACAGCCCTAAATTACTCCTCTGGCACACACACACACACATTGAGTCACCAAAGTTTATCATTACATACTTACATGCAACTTGCTCCTCGATCAGAAACACAGTTATCTTTGGGCTACGTCAGTCACTCTGGGTGCCCTGTCATGGTCTGTGGAGCAAGAAAAGGGAACTGACGTGAGGGAGGCAGGCAGTTTCTCTGGCCCCAGGCTCCAACAATTCCTCTCCCTCTAGACATGCACTGACCTCTTTTTCTGTTTTCTGGGAGGAGGGGATAAGGAGGGTGATATAGTTTGGCTATTTGTCACCTCCAAATCTCATGTTGAAATTTGATCCCCAGTGTGGAGTTAGGACCCAATAGGAAGTGTCTGAATCATGGAGGCGGATCCCTCATGGACGGCTTGGTGTCATCCTCATGATAATAATTGAGTTATCTCTCTATTAGTTCACGTGGAAGCTAGTTGTTTAAAAGAGCCTGGCATCTCTCCCTCTCTTCTTCCTCCCTCTCTCATCATGTGACACATTTGCTCCCCCTTTGCCTTCTGCCATGATTGAAAGTGTCCTGAGGTCTTTACCAGAGGCAGATGCCAGCACCATGCTTCTTGCACACTCTGCAGAACCTTTTTTCTTTATAAATTACCAACCTTAGGTATTCCTTTATAGAAACGCAAAACAGACTGAGTTAGTGGGCCTCTAGCCCAGTCCTAACCAGGGGAAATAAGAAGTGGAGAGAGGAAAAGGGATAGGATAGGAAAAGAGATTTTTGGTTCCTGGAGGAGAGATGTGATAAGGCAGTTGGGCAGGCATCAACCAACTTAGGTTTTCGGTGAGCTGAGCCCCAGGAGTAGAGGTGGTCTTTGCCCAGGCATCCTTGCTTACGGACACAGGTCTAAGACAACCACAGAGAACAGAGCATCCAGTGACTCTAGAGGCCAACTTGGAGCTTGCTGTTCATATACACTGGGGGTGCTGCAAGCGGATGAAGCGGACAGGGATAGGGAGAAATTAGCTGAGGGTTCTGAGTTCATCTTCATCACTGCCTTATTCTTGTCTATGAGGTGGAAGAAAGAGCAGGGGAATGAACCTGTGGCAAATCTGATCATGAAGGAAGGAAGGTCACATTCCTTTTGTCCTCCAGGCTACCCACCAAGTTTCCAAACATGATGACAGTTCTTGCGCAGACACAGCCTTCCTCCTGTGCAAATTAAGGCTAAGTGTCTAGGGCCTTGTGCGACTGAGCCCCAGCCCAGCCATGACAGCCTATTTCTGTTGCACTCAACCTCCATTCCCTAGGCAAGTGGTACAGGACATAGTACACTCAGATTCACAGCCCTGAGTAAGTTTCTCCTCTGGCACGCACACACACACACACACACACACACACACACACACATTGAATCACCAAAGTTTACCATTACATACTCTGATGCAACTTGCTCATTGTTCAGAAACACAGTACCTACCACCCCCCAAGATGTATGTGTGTATGACGCACACACACACAATCATAAAATATCCACAAGTACACATACCTGAACTGGACATACATACTCTCACACACTACATATGTATACACTCAACTAAACCTGTACGTATACATCTAGCCATGCTCAGAACATTCATATTTATCTCCTTTGGACATAAGTCTATCACACCGAAGCCTCCTTTGCAAACATACACAACTATGTTTCTTTACACACTCACATAATGATATACAGACACAGAGACACACAACCACACCCATTCATACAGATTCTCACCCTCTGTGCTTACCTATGCACAACCAGTACTCCCTACATGTACTCAGCAGATTGGTTTGCAAGTACTAATGCTTTATACTGCTTTGCAAGTTCTCCTAGGTCTATGTGATATCCTTTCTTCTGGCTCCTTGTCTTGTTTTTTTCTATTTTTTTAAAAAGCTTTTCTATATGAAAGTTTTCAAAACTCTATAGAAGTAGTGAGAATAGTAAAATTGATCACACATGAACCCATCACCCAGCTTCAAAAATTATTTATAAGTGTTTAAGTTAAACAATTCAACAGACATTTCCCGTGTGCCAATTCTCAGCATGTGTATGATATTGGGACATAGATGGGTGGCGGAGGGGAGTAGAAGACATAGTAGGTATTTAATAAATGTTAGTTGAGTTGAAAATTTCCAGTCCCTTGGCTGGGCATGGTGGCTCACACCTGTAATCCGAGCACTTTGGGAGGCTGAGGTGGGCGGATCATGAGGTCAAGAGATCGAGACCATATTGGCCAACATGTTGAAATCCCACCCCGTCTCTTCTAAAAATACAAAAATTGGCTGGGTGTGGTGGTGCATGCCTGTAGTCCCAGATATTTGGGAGGCTGAGGCAGGAAAATCGCTTGAACCCAGGAGGCAGAGGTTGCAGTGAGCCAAGACCGAGCCACAACCAGCCTGGAGAAAGCAAGACTCTGTCTCAAAAAAAAAAAAAAGGAAAGAAAAGAAAAAAGGAAGATTTCCAGTCCCTGGGCTGGCCTCTGAGGTTAAAGAAATGATGATTAAGTCACTATCCCTGCTCTTGGTGCAGCAGAGGAAACACATGTGAACACAAAATGCCCATAATTCATAAGGCTCAGTATTATGGTAGAACCGGGTTGGCAGATTATAGGCTGAGGGCCAAATCTAGCTGGGAAATGAAGTTTTCTTTTTATTTTTCTTTTCTTTTTTTGGAGACAGAATCTCGCTCTGTCACCCAGGCTGGAGTACAGGGCCACAGTCTTGGCTTACTGCAACCCCCACCTCCCGGGTTCAACCTCAGCCTCCCAAGTGGTTGGGATCACAGGCATGCACCACCATGCCTGGCTAATTTTTGTAGTTTTAATAAAGACAAGGTTTTGCCATGTTGGGCAGGCTGGTCTCAAACTCCTAGCCTCAAGTGATCTGTCTGCCTTGGCCACCCAAAGTGCTGGGATTACAGGTGCGAGCCACCTTGTCCAGCCTGTTATGAGAAATAAAGTTTTATTGGCACACAGCCACACCTGTTCAACAATTCAATGTTGTTTGTGGTTGCAATGGCAGAGTTGAGCTGTTGTCATACAGACCATGTAACCCGCAAAGATGAAAATATTTATTATCTGGCCTTTTACAGAAGATGTTTTTGATGACTCCTGCATTAGAGGGCTGGGGAAAAGACTCTGGGAGTGAATTTGATTTTGCCTTGGAGGGAAAGTGGTAGTGGTGAGGGTCATGCAATGCCTCCCAGAGTGGCATGTGGACCTGGGTCTCTGAGGCAGAGCATAAGTCTTCATCTCTCCATTGTACCCATGCTCTGTATACTAGGTTCACCCACCTACAACCTCCACAGAACACATTTCCAGAGCCCCATGCACCCCCAAATACACGTGCAGTCATTCCCTTTTCACATTTTGCATCATCACAGAAGGACCTTGAGCCAAAAGGGATGTCAAGGCCCAGGTTCCCATGCGTTACTTACCCAATGGGTAGAATACATCTAACAGGACACCCATGCTGGCCAAAATCACCTACTCCTTGGTCTCAAAGAATACATTCAGAAGGGCTGGCAGCTGGACCTGATGGAAACTACTCTAGGCCATCAAGCACAGACACATGGAATGTTAGATCAGGAAGTCACCTCAGAGATCCTTGGATCCAAATGCATCCCTCTCCACTTACATAAAGCCCAGAGTGATTTGAACAAGGTCACACAACAAATTGGTAGCAAATTGAAACTGAGACCAGAACTTAGGTGTCCTGACTCTTGAAACAAAGTGCTAGCAATCTATGAATAGTACAAACCTTTTTTATTTTTTGAGATGGAGTTTCGCTCTTGTTGCCCAGGCTGGAGTGCAATGGTGTGATCTCGACTCACCGCAACCTCTGCCTCCCAGGTTCAAGCGATTCTCCTGCCTCAGCCTCCCGAATAGCTGGGATTACAGGCATGTGGCACCATGCCTGGCTAATTATGTATTTTTAGTAGAGACAGGGTTTCTCCATTTTGATTAGGCTGGTTTGGAACTCCTGACCTCAGGGGATCCACCCACCTCAGCCTTCCAACGTGCTGGCATTACAGGTGTGAGCCACTGCGCCCGGCTGAATAGTACAAACCTTTGACAGGTGTGAAAAATAAGTTCCAGGGAAATGAAGAGATTTTCCCAGGGTCACACTTCTTGTTAGGAACAGAATTGTGGTGAGAATCCAGGGTGGCTGAATCCCAGACCAGGGTTCTTTCAAGTGTTAAGCATCTAACTCGAGTGCCCAGAGGGAGGCCTAAGATCACCCAGGACTTAACAGAAAGGCCAGGGGTCTTTCCACTAATCCACGCTGCCTATCATGGAGTACACTAATGCTTTCCCAGCAAGGGGATGAGGGTGATGAGAAAATCCACCCACCCTAGCTTCCCCATTCCTAGAGGATGGCCTTTGCTAATGGGGGGACCTGAGAACATTCCTCCTTTCTTCCCTTTGCTCAGACTCGTACCCCACATTTGGCCCTGTGCACCCAATATACCCAGGATGTGGAAGATCTTGTTGAAGCCATGCAGACTCATAGCCTCACCATCATGCTCCCATCAGAGATGCCTTTACACAGGCAGCTCAGAAACGAGTCTCAAAGCCACAACGTGGACACCAGAGGGCTTCAAAAAGCCGGAAGAGTCAGTCCCTGAGGTTGTTGGGCCCTGAAACTTTCCAGCTCATATTCTGCCAGCTGAGATGAGTCCACTCCAAAGCAAGAGGCACTTCTGCCCTCAGTGCCCATTACCACCCGACTACCACCCTGACCTCAGAGGCGAAATGACCACTAGAACTACATGCTAGTGAACTAAAGGAACTAGATAAGACTTGCACCTGCTAACCATAACCTGGGTCATCCTAAGTCTGCCCCTACCAGAGTGGGAACAGAGGCTTGGTGTCTGTTCTCTTCAAGGAGATAAAGGTTTCAGGAGGGCAAGAAAACTTCTATGGGATCTCCCAAGGAACCTTCTTGCCCTAAATACTACAGATTTCATATTCTCTAATCTGAACCCCTCATTTTGCAGATGACCATACCAAGGTCCAGAGTCAATGGCTGGTTAGAGTTGTATAACAATCCAGACCCTAACCAAACTCCGGCACAAAAGCAAGTTAGATTTAGAGGAAGATATACATGTCTGTCCCAGGCCAGGTCCTGGCTTCTGTGGGGTGGAGGTAGTTCTTACCTTGGTGAAGAAGACCGTGGCTGCAATTCCGTGACTCATCCGCAGTCTGGTACATGATGATGGAATACAAAAGAATTCCTGGAATCTGGAGACAGCAGAACTCCACCATGGCTGTGAAACAGAGAATCTTGAGCCATAAGATCAGTATCACAACCAGCATTTAGGAAGGCAGGTACACTGTCTCCACAGCTGAATCTGGCCTGGGGACTGGGGCAGCCTAAGGAACTCTCGCAGGAGCTTTTGGGGAGGGAATTGGGAGCCTGCTTTTTTTTTCTATAGAGAAGCTCAGGGTTCTCAGATTTGACCCCAAACTCCTAGACCGAGGCCCCTGCTGGCTCCCTTTCTGAGCCAAGCAGAGCCCAAGAATGGCTGCTAATGGCTAGGGTTCTGCCTGTGACCCAACCTTTACTCTGTCTTCCAATTTCAAGGAGTGAAAAGTTGAATGCCATTGTTTCCCTAGGGTAGACCCTGGGGACATCACATCCCTTTGTTTCTTCACATCTAAGATACAGGATTATCAGGTCCTCGTGCTACCTCCATCTTGTCCATGGACACCAAGAGGAGAGAGAAAACAGCCAGGTTGTCTCTCCTTCAATTAATAGGAGTGGGAGGTGGCTTTCAGGATCCACAGGAGAAATGAATAGAGGACTATAGCAAAGAACTGACTCTTCAGCCAGCTCCCTTGAATCTTTCTCATGGATCCTGGGGTTACAGCCAGGATACAGAGGCTGACCATCAGGATTTCCTCTCTTTTCCCGCTCCTCCCTTTCTCCACTCCATTGAACAGTGCTCAATGACTCCCTGCATCTGGTAATTGAATGAACTGCTACTCCCTATCTACTTCCTCAGATCAGGGGGCGGTATTCCCAGGCCCTCTTGGTACCGGGTTACGTATGAGACAAATGCCATGGCTGAAAGTTATGGTGCTAACAAAGTTTGTCCAGGCTTCTTGAAGCTTCAGAAAAGTGAATTCCTGGCCGGGCACGGTGGCTCACGCTTATAATCCCAGCACTTTGGGGGGCCAAGGCGGGTGGATCACGAGGTCAAGAGATCGAGACCATCCTGGTCAACGAGGTAAAACCCCGTCTCTATTAAAAACACAAAAATTAGCTGGGCATGGTGGCGCGTGCCTGTAATCCCAGCTACTCAGGAGGCTGAGGCAGGAGAATTGCTTGAACCCAGGAGGTGGAGACTGTGGTGAGCTGAGATCACGCCATTGCACTCCAGCCTGGGTAACAAGAGTGAAACTCCGTCTCAAAACAAAAAAAAGAAAGAGTGCTTATCTTTTAGAAATACATACTGAAGAGAGGTAGACAAGTAGAAAAAAGGACAAGAAGGCAGAGAAGAAGAAAAAATTAGAAAAAAATAGAAATACATACTGAAGTATTTATAGATGAAATAATATAAAGTGTGGAATAATCCATTGGGGAGGGGTTATAGATGAAACCATTAGTTGAAAATTATTGAAACTGGATGGTTGATACATGATGGTCCATCCATTATATTATTCTCTCTATCTTGTATATATTAAAAATTTTCCATAATAAAAAGTTTAAAATTTTATTTTATTTTATTTTTTTGAGACTGAGTTTTGCTCTTGTTACTCAGGCTGGAGTGCAATGGCGTGATCTCGGCTCACCGCAACCTCCACCTCCTGGGTTCAGGCAATTCTCCCACCTCAGCCTCCTGAGTAGCTGGGATTATAGGCACACGCCACCATGCCCAGCTAATTTTTTGTGTTTTTAGTAGAGACGGGGTTTCACCATGTTGACCAGGATGGTCTTTATCTCTTGACCTTGTGATCCACCCATCTCAGCCTCCCAAAGTGCTGGGATTACAGGCTTGGATTACATAAAATAAAATTTTAAAAGGAAGCTTTTAATAGGACAGTACAACCAGTGGGCAGAAAGATATGGCAGCCATAACCCAGGGTCACTCTGTTCTTTGAACCAGTCCCTTCTAACAAAGGCACTGTTGAGTTGGATAGTACCACCCCTTCACCCCCATTCAAGTCCTTCCCCAAATCTCAGGATGTGACCTTACTTTGAAATAGGATCACTGCTAATATAATTAGTTAGGTTAAGATAAAACATACTGGAGTAGAGTGGGCCCTTGATCTAATATGGCTGATGTCTTTATAAGAAGAGGAGAAGAGGCTGGGAGTGGTGGCTCACGCCTGTAATCCCAGCACTTTGGGAAGCCGAGGCAGGCGGATCACGAGGTCAGGCGATCGAGACCATCCTGGCCAACATGGTGAAACCCCTTCTCTATTAAAAAAAAAAAAAGAAGAAGAAGAAGAGAAGAAATACAAAGACACACAAGGAGAACACTATGTAAAGACAAAGGCGGGCTGGGCATGGTGGCTCACACCTATAATCCAAGCACTTTGGAGGCCAAGGTGGGTGGATCACCTGAGGTCAGTAGTTCAAGACCAGCCTGACTGAAAATACAAAACAAAAAAATTAGCTGGGCATGGTGGCAGGCGCCTGTAATCCCAGCTACTTGGGAGGTTGAGGCAGGGGAATTGCTTGAAACAGGAAGGCAGAGGTTGCAGTGAGCTGAGATCACGCCATTGCACTCCAGCTTAGGTGAAGGAGTGAGACTCTGCTTCAAAAAAATAAAAATAAAAGAGTCCTTATCTTGGCCAGTCACAGTTGCTCAGGCTTGTAATCCCAGCACTTTGGGAGTCCTAGGTGGGTGTAACACTTGAGGTCAGGAGTCTGAGACCAACCTGGCCAACATGGTGAAACTCTATCTGTAGTAAAAATACAAAAATTAACTGACCATGATGGCAGATGCCTTTACTCCCAGCTACTCAGGAGGCTGAGGCAGGAGACTAACTTGAACCCAGAAGGCGGAGGTTGCAGTGAGCCTAGATCATGTCACTGCACTCCAGCCCGCGTGACACAGCAAGACTGTCTCAAAAAACAAACACACACACACACACACACACACACACACACACACACACGGGAAAGATAAGAAAATATAAATAAGAAAGAGTTATGTAAAGCATCCAGCCTGTAGTAGAGAAGAAATGACAGCTCCTTTTCCAATACCATGTTGCCTCTTATATCATTAGTTAAGCTGGAGATGGCCTGGCACAGTGGCTCATACCTGTAACCCCAGCACTTTGGGAGGTCAAGGCAGGAAGATCACTTGAGTCCAGGAGTTTGAGGCTAGACTGGGAAACATAGGGAGACCCTATGTTGAAACCACCAGTGCAAAATTATAGAAGAAAATTGTTACAGTGAAAGAGATCTGAACTAACCAACTCCATCTTCCTTTAACCTCTCAACAGTCCTTGTTCATTCCTGGGCATAGGTGGAGCTAACTTTGGAAGAAACTTAGTTTATAGTTTAACTTTGAAACAAAGATAACTGCCCTTTCCCAAAACAAACCCCCTTCCTGCCTGGGAACTAGACTGTTTTTAAAGGACTAAGAAATTAGCCACAAGATTAGAAATTACTATTTAGGGCCAGGCACAGTGGCTCACATCTGTAATCTGAGCACTAAGGCAGGTGGATGACTTGAGGTCAGGAGTTAGAGACCAGCCTGGACAACATGGTGAAACCTTGTCTCTACTAAAAATACAAAAAACTAGCTGGGTATGGTGGCACCTGCCTGTAATCCAGCTACTCAGTAGGCTGAGGCATGAGAGGTTACAGTGAGCCAAGATCCTGCCACTGCACCCCAGCCTGGGCAACAAAGCAAGTCTCTGTCTCATTAAAAAAAGAAAGAAAGAGGCTGGGCGTGGTGGCTCATGCCTATAATCCCAGCACTTTGGGAGGCCGAGGTGGGTGGATCACGAGGTCAGGAGATCGAGACCATCCTGGTCAACAAGGTGAAATCCCGTCTCTACTAAAAATACAAAAATTAGCTGGGCATAGTGGTGTGCACCTGTAGTTCCAGCTACTCAGGAGGCTGAGACAGGAGAATTGCTTGAACCCAGAAGGCAGAGGTTGTGGTGAGCCTAGATTGTGCCATTGCATTCTAGTCTGGGTAATAACAGCGAAACTCTGTCTCAAAAAAAAAAAAAAGAGAAATAAAGAAATTATGGTTTAGGAGTCATGCACCTAGAGGTTATAAGATTGTGACCCCTCCCCAAATTGCTCTAGGGGAGCAATAACATCACTATTGTAAAACCTGTGAACCCTGAATATCTGAGACTGGTCCCAGTCAATTTACAAAGTTTATTTTTCCAAGGTTAAGGACACAGGCAACAGTGAAACAGCCTCAGGAGGTCCTGATGACATGTGCCTGAGGTGATTGGAGCCCAGGTTGGTTTTATACACTTTAGGGAGACATGAGACATTAATCAATATATGTAAGATGAACAATGGTTCTGTCCAGAAGGGTGGGACAACTGGAAGCAAGGAGGGGGCTTCCAGGTCATAGGTAGGTAAGAGACAAATGGTTACATTTTTTAAAATTTCTAATTAGTCTTTCCAAAGGAGGCAATCAGATATGCATTTATCTCAGTGAGCAGAGGGATGACTTTGAACAGAATGGGAGGTGGCTTGGCCAGGTATGGTGACTCACACCTGTAATTCCAGCATTTTGGGAGGCCAAGGTTGGCGGATCACTTGAGCCCAAGAGGTCAAGGCTATAGTAAGCTGTGATCACACTGTAACTGCCCAATGGGTTCTAATTGCCTTCTGACCAGATTGAGCCATTCTATCAAGATAGGAGAATTGCAACAGAGAAGAAATTCAATACACATAGAATTAGCTAAAAGGGAGACTTGAGGTTTTTTTTTTCTTAGTCTTTTTTTTGTAGGAAGGGAGGAAGGCAGGAAGGCAGGAAGGGAGGAAAGGAGGAAGGGAGGGAGGGAGGAAGGAAGGGAGGAAGGGAGGGAGAGAAGGGAAGGAAGGAAATCAGGCAGTGAGAGAGACATTGCTGACCTGGATCTAGAGGTCTACAAGTTGATTTCTATTTTTTTTTTTTGAAAGAAAGAAAGAAAAAAAAGGAGTGAAGGAGAGGAAGAAAGAGGAAGAAAAAGAGGGAGAGAGAATGGAAATGTTGCTTTATTCTAAAAAAAATGGGTATTAATAATGGCCAATCAATATTTTATTTAAACCTATAAGTAGGTGTGATGTGGTATTGACA